TATATATATATATATATATATATATATATATATATATATATATATATATATATATATATATATATATATATGAGCAATATCACATGAGTAGCAGTGCAATATGGCTGTATATCGGCACTGGTGGGAGGCGTGCGTTGGCGCGAGGCCACAGGCCTAGCTACAAGTGTGATATTCCGTTTATACAACAGTTTAACGGCATAATTGTGTATATGAAAACTAAATAAAACATGGAGAGTCTCAAAAACCCTTTTGTATGAGGAACTACTTTCTTCCGCGTTGTATTCAAATCATAAGCTGACAGTTAAACAGCTGAGCGAGCATCTTTTAAAAATTCTAACGACATTTTAAATCTAACAAGGAGTGCCGAGTTACTTCATAGCTCAATCTGTTGTAGATCTTCAGGTCTTGATTAGGCCGACTTTGCTAAAATACTTGTATAATATTTCAAATGATGGCATAACTTTCCACCCAATTAGGCTAATTAAGTAATTAATGCTTGATCATTTTAAATTATGAATCTAAACTCTAATACGGAGATAAGCTGGTAAGCGTGTAAAGGAATGGCATCATACCGCCCTGTAGTGTTCGTTTTAAAGACGAAATACGGGCATACGTACTTCTGGCTACATAATTCACAATCTCCAGAAATGTATATAGGGCTACGTTTTCAGAATGAGCCTATGATGGCTTTGTTACACACACATAACAAGTAAATTACGCTGTATATCATTTAACATTCTATATAACATTCAATTAAAAAATAAGATGTTTATCTATTTTCAGATATTACAGTATGTTGCTGATTCAAGCAACACTTCCAACACTCGTGTGTGAGAAGCACAACAATTATCTATTCTGTATGCATCCACGTGTCCACTCTGTCATGTTAGCATGCGTGTTGAAGGTAGGGGTCGTGCTCTCATTCAAAACAAAAGCATTTTCAATCTGTTGTGTGTTGTGAGAGTGTTCGGTGTCTGCCTGCTGACCCCACAGTGTCATTCCACGTGCCCCCTGACACAGTGAGCACCTCTCTCAAATTGAAACATGTCCATGTGGCCTGTTTGCGAACTCAGATGTCTGAAAATGCTAATAAATGACACAACATTACACCGAGACTTGTCATCATTAACATTTACAGCAATAGTTCTCTCAAAAATGAAAATTCCGTCAAAATCCACTACACTGTAAGGAGTGAAAACTGAAACGAATTACGGTGACGTTACAATTAAATGAATTAAGTTTAACAAACTTAATTTACGACAGTTTTCAATAGGTGTAACATTCATTCATTCATTTTCCTCTCGGCTTAGTCCCTTTATAAATCTGGGGGTCGCCACAGTGTAACTAACCGTCAACTTATCCAGCATATGTTTTACGCAGCGGATGCCCTTCCAGCCGCAACCCATCTCTGGGAAACATCCATTCACACTCATTCACTATGGACAATTTAGCCTATCCAATTCACCTGTACGGCATATTTATGGACCTGTGGGGGAAACTAGAGGACCCGGATGGAAACCCACGCGAACACGGGGAGAACATGCAAACTCCACACAGAAACACCAACTGACCCAGCCGAGGCTCGAGCCAGCAACTTTCCTGCTGTGAGGCGACAGCACTACCTAGTCGCCTAGGTGCAACAAGTTTTAGTAATTCATTTATGGCAAGTATAAGTATTGCTCACTATTATTAGTGAACAATACTTGTACTGGACACAAAAGGTGCAGGAAGTATTGTTATCATTATATTAACATGGCATGGAAAGGAAATTATTAGAAATGTAATAAAATATTTTAACTATTACTATTATGTTAACAATATTTTATTGAATGATTTGTACTGTGTGTACTGATTCATTCATTCATTTATTTATTTTCTTTCCAGCTTAGTCTCTTTATAAATCTGGGGTCGCCAGAGCGGAACTCACCGCCAACTTATCCAGCATGAATTTACGCAGCAGATGCCCTTCCAGCCGCAACCCATCTCTGGGAAACATCCACACACACTCATTCACACTCACTCACTACGGACAATTTAGCCTACCCAATTCATCTGTACCGCATGTCTTTGTACTGTTAGGGAAATTAGAGGACCCAGAGGAAACCCACGCAAACGCGGGGAGAACATGCAAACTCCACACAAAAACGCCAACTGACACAGCCGAGACTCGAACCAGTGATCTTCTCGCTGTGAGGCGACAGCACTACCTACTGCGCCGCCCTCTTCCATTCTAGTTTCTTAAATAAATTACTAAAACTTGTCACACCTAAAAGAACTAACCTAGTTTGTTACTGAAAACTGTCATAAATTAAGTTGGTCAAACTTAAATCACTTAAGTGTAACAAGTCGAGGTTTTCACTTTTTATAATGTATCACATATTTACATTTTTTTTCTGAATCTCTCTTGACTTCCACTGTAAGGACAAAAGCACTGTTCAATATATATCCTACAGTCTCTCCACAGGTCAAAGTCAAAAGGGATTAAAACAATATGAAAGTTAATGATATGCGATTTTATATTTTGGGTTAACTATTCATTTCAATTGCTTAAAGAAGTACGAATGATATTTCACTTAATTCTATTTAACCTGAGGCAAGAAAAAGATCAAAATGTGCATAAAACCAGATGCAACTTACTTAAGAAATTTGATAACATTCTAGTCTAGTGCCTATTATGTCTGACGACACTGGCAGCTTTCCTTCAACTTGATGTTTAACAATAAATAAGTAGTGAACAAAATATAGTGAAGGGAAAATCCGTCAGTGCCGTGATGTATGTAAAACATGCAATTTATAAAAACAAAGTTTTTAACAATGTTGCTTTTTAAGCAGTTGTATCTTCTGTTAAAGTTATTTATATGTTTTACTCAATCATGCAAAGATGGTTTGATCCCAGCAAACAATTTGTGTTTAATAGACGTCTAATATACTTCTAAATGTAGACAGCTTAGCTAAAACAAGGCTAAACTTGAAAATCTGTCAGTGAAAATCTAATAGGCATCTAAGAATATCCCAAATGTATACTAGTCGTCAAATAGACAGACTGTATATGTGTAGTCATTGATTTCTGTTTATCTGATGACTAGTCTAGTTTTGGCCTATACTTAGACGTCTATTATATATTCACTGACAGCCCAAATTTAGTCTTGTTTTAGCCAAGAGGACTATGTTTAGACGTCTATTAGACATCTTAAAAAATGCTTGCTGGGATCCACCTTCAATCTATTAAGGATTATTGTTTACTTTGGCATCAATTTAAAACAACATATAACAAAAACTGAATTCTTACCTGTGTCCATTACCCAGACCTCTGTATGCCTTCTCCTGGTCCTGCATATGGCTGAGGCTTTGTGCCACGGAGAGATACTGGTCATAATACTTTATTGCCTCTTCGAAATCACCCAGCGAGTCGTAGCAGTCTCCCAAGTTCCCGTAGGCCCGACCACGGTCCAGAACAGCCTCATTGCCACTGAGCTGCTGCAACATTGCCAACTGTTGCTCAAAGTATCCAATAGCTTCCTCCATTACTCCCATGTTCATTTTAGTGATGCCCATGTTACCATAGACCTGGGCTTCAACGCTGGGGTCCTTCAGACGTTGGCCGAGCTCAAGCTGTTCCTCGTAGCATTTGAACGCCATTGTGTACTTCCCAAGTGACATGTATACAGCTGCAAGGTGCCCGTGAGCCTGGCACTCTCCCTGGATGTCGCCCAGCTCCTGGTACACCTCTAGTTCCTGGGTGTGGTATCCTAAGGCTTTGTCAAACTTCTGTAGCATACGGTAGGCAGCTCCCAATGCGGCATAGGCATTCGCCTCCATCTTGCGGTCCTTGACCTTATGTGCCAAGGATAACTGCTGCTCGTAAAACTTAACAGCGCCAGGAATGTCTTTCTTACAAAGGAAGATATCTCCCAGGTTGCCCAAGGCACGGAAACGAGCCTGCGAGTTGTTTAGCGACTGCGCCAAGGAAAGAAGGTACTTCTGGCACTCTTCCGCCTTGGTGTAGTCACCAAGTGCCTTGAAGGCCAGGCCCAGATTGCAGTAGGCTTTGGCTTGACTTAGCTTGTCATGGAGGTCCTTGGCAAGTGCCAGGTCTTGTTCGTAGTACTTCACCGCTTCCTGGAAGTTGCCCAGACAGTAGTGTGCATATCCCAAGTTGTGACAGACCTTGCCTTCACTCTCCATATCTTGCAAGTCCGGCGAAAGTCGTAAGTACTGTTCGTAGTAGGGTACAGCTTGGGGAAACTCACCTCGAGAGCAGTGGAAGTTACCCAGGTTACCCAAAGCCCTAGCCTCACTCTGGATGTCCCTCAACTCTCGAGCAATGTTCAAATGATTCTGGTAATGTTGCAACGCTCGATCGTGTGCACCAAGAGCCTGGTATGCCACAGCCAGGTTCCCATGCGTTGAAGCCTGTGAGGCACGATCATTAACCTCCATGGAAATCTGCAGCTCTTGTCGATGGTAGCGCACAGCCTGGTCAAAAGCACCGAGGGCATTGTAAGCATTGCCCATGTTTCCGTAGGCTCTGCCTTGGGCAGCGTAGTCGTTTAGCTCCTGGGCAATGGATAGATGAGCCTTGTGCAGCTTCAGAGCAGTCTCATAGTCCCCTTTCATCTGGTGAATGATTCCTGTAAAGGAGAAAAGAATCATTTCATTCAGCTGAATTGTGCTTATCATGCTTCAAGGCGTAACCGAAATGGCTTTTCGATATCTTCCATCCCTCTTCATCTGTTAAAGAGGCTAAAGATTAACTTTACATTTTAGAAAGCCCTGAACTATAACATACCCTAAGCAGATCATCCAAATGAAAAAAAGGAAATAAGATCTGAGGAAAATCCACTGACGCTTGTAGAAGTATCTTTTAATTAAAAAAAGGAGATCTGATCTAGTCTTGATGCAAGAAAATCAAAGGTCACCCAAAGCCCTAGCCTCACTCTGGATGTCCCTCAACTCTCGAGCAATGTGCAAATGATTCTGGTAATGTTGCAACGCTCGATCGTGTGCACCCAGAGCCTGGTACGCCACAGCCAGGTTCCAAAGCGTTGAAGCCTGTGAGGCACGACCATTAACCTCCATGGAAATCTGCATCCCTCTTCATCTGTTAAAGAGGCTAAAGATTAACTTTCCATTTTAGAAAGCCCTGAACTATAACATACCCTAAGCAGACCATCCAAATGAAAAAATAAAATAAAATAAGATCTGAGGAAAATCCACTGACACTTGTAGAAGTATCTTTTAATTAAAAAAAAGGAGATCTGATCTAGTCTTGATGCAAGAAAATCAAAGGTCACCCAAAGCCCTAGCCTCACTCTGGATGTCCCTCAACTCTCGAGCAATGTTCAAATGATTCTGGTAATGTTGCAACACTCGATCGTGTGCACCCAGAGCCTGGTATGCCACAGCCAGGTTCCCATGCGTTGAAGCCTGTGAGGCACGACCATTAACCTCCATGGAAATCTGCATCCCTCTTCATCTGTTAAAGAGGCTAAAGATTAACTTTACATTTTAGAAAGCCCTGTACTATAACGTACCCTAAGCAGACCATCCAAATGAAAAAATAAAATAAAATAAGATCTGAGGAAAATCCACTGACACTTGTAGAAGTATCTTTTAATTTAAAAAAAGGAGATCTGATCTAGTCTTGATGCAAGAAAATCAAAGGTCACCCAAAGCCCTAGCCTCACTCTGGATGTCCCTCAACTCTCGAGCAATGTTCAAATGATTCTGGTAATGTTGCAACACTCGATCGTGTGCACCCAGAGCCTGGTATGCCACAGCCAGGTTCCCATGCGTTGAAGTCTGTGAGGCACGACCATTAACCTCCATGGAAATCTGCATCCCTCTTCATCTGTTAAAGAGGCTAAAGATTAACTTTATATTTTAGAAAGCCCTAAACTATAACATACCTTAAGCAGATCATCCAAATGAAAAAAAGGAAATAAGATCTGAGGAAAATCCACTGACGCTTGTAGAAGTATCTTTTAATTAAATAAAGGAGATCTGATCTAGTCTTGATGGAAGATAATCAAAGTTCTGCGCCCTATAGATATGCCGATATGAGGCAAAGGCAAACAAAACAGTCAGATCTGCTCAGTCCTGGGAGACTCTTGCAAATTTTAGGTCCCCCTAATGTTGTCTCGCCACTTTTCCACAAAATGATCATTACCGTCATAACATTATATCCCCTCCTCTCCAGTTCCAGTAGAGTATGTGGGGGAAAGTAGAGGAACAGGCAAGGAAAACGGCTAATGATTACTTTTGATGGAAAAAGGGTTTGAGGGCTCTAGCGATGGGAAACTTTAATTGTGGTCCACACCAGTTGGCTTTAACAGGGTTTCTTTGACTTTGAAAACCAGAGGTAACTACTGGGGATAAGGAAAACTGCTGGGATGAGGGGAAAACAAGACGTGTCAGTTGGGCAAAACTGGGAAGCCTGTGGCGACCCTTTGTGGGATTGTCAGAGATGCCGGCTGCCCTGAAAATGTGCTCTGGGAACAGGACGCCAATGAAAACACATCGTGAGCATGTGAGATGAAAGCAGTTTTCAGAGAGATTGTTGATAGAGTGGCTTGGCTTCTAGAGGGAACTTGCTCGCTCGGTTTGAGTCACAGGCCACGAGCATGTCCTTCTGTGCATGGAGAAGCAGGAGGCGATGGGGGGATATCAAAATGGGTGAGGGGTTGCCCATCTGCTCAGTGTCAATACTCATGTGCCAAGGCAGGATTACCAGCATGTGGTAAATCCAATTAGATCCAGTGCCAAACCGGTATCCTGACACTGAGGGCCCATTAGAGCTCTTTTCTATTCACAAAAATTTCCTCTAAAATAGCCCGAGTCTTCAGCGGCTAATTATTAATACTTAACCCCATGATTCTTCATTTATCAGTGAGCAAACTTGAGACAGAAGCTAGCTTGAAGACAAATCCTTGCAAGCAAACATGACACACAAATCCTGTGATGAAAGAAAGACACTCCTGCAGGTCTGTTTTGTAATGGCTGGTACTGCTTGTACTTTCATATTGGCTCTGTTCAACGTAGCTGCTAAAAACATAATAGGGAACACTAAAACTACTTTGAGCTAAAAACAGAAATGCTGAGCAGAGCAACTCTACACTGCCAGGCCATAAATACTCCCGACTGTCTGCAAATGAACAGAAGGGACTGCTGTTAATATTCACAAACAGTAGGGAGTGTTTATGAGCATAAACTACTTAAATTAATGGATCACCTACAGTCGTCGTTACACTAGTTAATACGCTGAGTGCCCCCTGGTGGTATGCTTCATGGCTTGAAATTTAAAATAAAGTTAAATGCTTATATAAAACGATGAACAAACAAACAAATAAATAAGCACAATCTATAGGAAGAAACGTTTGGAAGTAGTTTGTTAACAGCACTTATATTTTATTCATTCTACATTCATTCTTTATTTATTTACATCATGTTAATTAAATTGAACAATAATTATCTTACAGATCCTTAAAATAATTCACAATAAAATTCATTCAATCATTTTCTTGTCGGCTTACTCCCTTTATTTAACCGGGGTTGCCACAGCGGAATGAACCACCAACTTATCCAGCACATTCTTACGCAGCGGATGCCCTTTCAGCCGCAACCCATCTCTGGGAAATATCCACACACATTCATACACTACGGACAATTTAGCCTACCCAATTCACCTGTACCGCATGTCTTTGGACTGCGATATTCCATTTTCAAGAGTTTACACTTAGATAATGCTTGACTGTTTTAGCAGGTTTGGCATGCTGTCCTGATAGAGAACCCTGACCTCAGAAATAGATGAGCCCAAGGCTCCCGCCTAGTCAATAGGCATCCCATTAGGAGGAATACGTGATCAGGTAGTTCTCGATAACTTCCCAAGAATAGACCGTTGGCTCGATGCCGCCAACAAGTAGCAGGTGCTTGTGACTTTAACTTTTGTTGCATGTTTTTGCCTGTAGGAGGAACCCGGAGTACAGGGAAAACCCACACGAACATGGGGAGAACATGCAAACTCCACATAGAGAGTGTGGACTGGCTCAGCTAGCGTTTAAATCAACGACCAGGGGCAACAGTGCTAGCCCCTGAGCCACCGTGTCGCCCGAACTTAGAGTTGAGGAGAAGGGGTGGATTGGTTTGGGGGGGGGGATTTCCAAAACAAAGATGAGGAATGAAATATAGGCTGGATTTATATTACATTTGGAATGATCCGATTGGCTAGTTAGTGATTAGTAAAAGGGATCAGCTGTAGTCAATCCTATCACGTGCTCCTCTTGAAATTAATTCACTTTGCGCATAAATTTTATTTGCATTTTTTGATAGAAACATAGCAAGTGAAAATAGAAAATTAGGCTCAATTTGTAGGCCTAACTGATGCTTTAACATTTTTTGTTGTCTGTTATGTTTAATTTGTTAATATAAAAATGAAAAAGATTCAATATTTTATTATTGAGATGTTAGGGTGAATGACTTTATAAAAGTAGCCTACACTTGTTACATTTGAAGATTTGCCCAACGTGTCCTCACATCCTCGGGAGTTTGTTATAAACTTGTAAATAAAAAGTCTGAACTAACAAGGAAAGGATGCAAGTCTGAAATTTATGTAGTTGATTTTGGGAAAAAGGCCCAAAAAGTTAGCATGAATTTCAGCAATCACGCCTCCAATTTCCAATGTCTCTATTTTACCCCATCCACACTGACAAGCATCAGCAGCATTTTAAAACCAAAACAGCCTCTTCAGTGTTTCCAAAACGCTTCATTTTCAACACTCGAAAACTCCAGGTAGTGCGGACGGAAGGCGTAAACGTAGCAAAAGTTATGAGTTTTAAAACTAAAACATATTAGTGTAAACAGGGCCTGTGAAAGTCTCACCACAGACGACTCTATTTTCATCATTTCATGTTAAGAATGGGCTCACAGCGGCAAAACAAAAAGAGCTTCTCTTTGATAGGTCAGTTAAGAGGATTACATGGTCACCTGCGGACGCTGCAGGAATGCATATGGCCCCATCACTAAAGTTAAATCCTCAGAGCAGACACGCGGGAGAGTGTAGCATGAGATGGGGAGCAGGATCTGAGACTGATCAGAGGTCAGGGAAAAGGTTAAAAACTCCTCAGCATCTGCTGTAAGGGCTGAATAGTAATTGCAACGCTGCAGAGCATTTAGCTATAGAAGACACTATACTCCGAGAGCCTCTGAGTAGTGGGATTGTGATTCCAGCTTGATGCCCTGCTATGTGGAACGAGTGATGGGCAGCCCTTCAAACAAACATTAAAAATACTTCCCTCCCTAGGCGCTCGTTTCGCCTGAATACATGTGAAATGAAGTAATTTAATCTTCAAATAGCACAATCTTCAACCCCAAATGACTGAAACGGCATGACTTTTTTATTTTATTTTTACTGGGAATGTCCTACTTGAACTCATTACATAGCTGTCGCTTTTCATGCGTTCCCGCTCCATAAAGGCTGTGGCATTCCGAATTAATTAGCTTTAGCATGGACTCGCCTTCAAAGCTTAACATCTCTGACCAGATTTTGACAACTAAATGAAACCGATCAAACCAGCAGTCATTAGATGTGTCCAATTCTTAAAATAGTGCATTTAATAATAGATCAAATTTACTC